AATTAAAAACATTTTATTTAGGCCTATCTATGGCCTTCAAAAAGTTGACGATGCTACATGTTTCGACGTTACAACGTCATCCTCAGCTTAACAAGCTATTATCCGAGCAGATAGTGCGAGTACGAGATGGTTAAACAGAAGCAATTGCCGGTATTTTCCACTTCAGCAGTACACACACAGAGACGGCCGCTCTCAGTTACATCGTCTCTTACCCTTCTTTTCTCGAGCTTATAAATATAAGTTATTCAAGTTAAAAGACCGTAACCTATCCCTATAAAATAAGCATTACACCCGTGGAGTCTTTCTAAACTCTTTTCAATAAACGAACAAGTTAAGATTATTTCTTAGAAGTTAGGTAGGGAGACCAAAACTATTCCACAATCACAGCATTAAAACTTATAATAAACTATAAAGAGAAGCCTAGCTAACTTAGCCACAAAGTGATAAAAGTATAATAAACTCAACGGAAATATCGTGTGTAACATTTATACAATATTTTACAGTATTTTCACGAGATTAATTAATAATAACAGCTTTTTCTAAAGCTACTGTAAAACAAATGAGTGTCTACAAATTATTATAACTTATTACTAATATTGACTTGTCTGGGCTCTAAGGCTAAGTAATGCACCAGTCAATTTCACCGCCATTGCATCATCATGCTGCCACCTAATGGTTGCAGAAATGTAGAAAGTTGTGTTATTGGAGAAATCGAATAGCATTATATCATTATAATTAAACAATTTTAAATTTCAGACGTCTCTGTCATATTTATTGAAGTAGAACTATAATTTGAATTTAACTAACATAACAAAGCTCCTGTTGGTCATCTCGCAAAAAAACAAAAACAACTCTAGTCCTGTAGTGCGAATATGGCCCAGTAGTTCATGTGCTCGACTATAGAGTCGAGATTCAATAGCTCACGTCCCACTATTGTAAAAAATTCAAGTTTTTCAATTTGGGGCCCATGAATACATAATTATTATAATAACGGTCAATTTCCATTGTTCGATTATAGCAGCTAACGAATTGGCGATGGGTAGTGTTGACTAATTGTTTTCTCGCTAGTTTATCACTTGTAATTTAAATTAGACATTTAACGCAGATAGGCTTCGAGTAGCTTTGCGCGAAATTTAACAAACAACCACCCCTGTATTATCAATATTAGTGGAATATTATCTAAAACACAGGATTAAAATTAACGTTCCTAAAATAAAATCGTACTATTCTCTAAAAACAAGAGTACAAAAAAAAAAAAGCCACGAAAAATGTACCTACAGGGAACCGTCCTTCTGACTGCCACGTCAACTAAATTTTTTCATCGCATGAGATTAAGAATTAACCTGGGTAACTCACATTAACCAAATCGAAAACAAAACTTGGCGATGAGCGAACTACGTCAGGAGACTGTCAGGAAACAATTTAGGAGCAAAACAACAGAACACGATTAAAATATATATTGTCACGCTTGTGTCGCTAAAGTTTCGTCGGAACGAATTTACGGAAAATTAACTAACGAACAGAGACCCTTTCTTAAATAAAACTGGTTTATTCTTTCCGAATACAACTTTACAATACACTTAATTCCAACAGTCGCTCCACAACAACGCTATAACTCACGTCTCACGTGGCCAACAATATTTTATCCGCATACATTCAATTACTCATTACCTTCCCGTCGCTTCGTGGCCGGTCTTATATATATACAAGACTACACTATATCTAGAAAGATCACAAGATTTAAGGAAAAGACGTGTAAGTTCGAGAATGACGTGGCGTGATACTAGTCACGTGACCTCGATGTCGTAACAATATAAACAATAAATACGACCAGTAATCGGATTCGCCAGTCCAGCATGAATAAACACCTCACCAACACTGTTTAAAGTAAAAGTAATACAAAACTCAATACTTGCAACAGCAATAGTCCCACGATGTACAAGTTCAACCTTTTTACATAAGCACGAAAATACACAACAATTAACGACAAGCTTCTACATACTAACTCGAAATAACTACTCCGAGAAAAAACAATAATGAACTACAAGAGACCTCTAGATCGGTACGTCATACGTGATGAAACTATGCCTAAGTTCCCCTCCCCTACTTTAAGTGTAGCAACAAGCCACCTACTGCTGGCCTTTAAATTGTGTATCATATGATTAATATATTATAAAAGTATTAAAAATTGTATTTTGTGTACAATACTCTCGTAATAGACTATTTAAGTGAGTGTATCGCAAAATATGTAATTATTTGCCATGTATAGGACTATACTGATCAAACTAAGAGAAATATATCCGATACAAGATGCTACAAGCGGTACACGAATGGGCATGGCCTAGAGAGTGGTTGGTGTTTTTATAAAACTATAAAGATCGGGATGGTGTAAAATCGCTGTGTGAAGGATTACAACAACAGCAAAGGAAACGATAGAACTTGACCCTCCCGAATCCGCACGGGGATTTAGATCCGGATGCAAACAAAGGGCACGTATTATCAGTTAGTCAAATTCATGTTATATAATTTACTGACTGCAATATGAAATATTATATATATTTGTGAATGTTAAACAATGCTCAGATATACTTATAGGATTATGTTTATTTAAAGTATAAATTAAATGTATTAATAAAAATTTCATTTCTGTAGATACTGTTGCGTCATCGAGGTCGCGTGACTGGTGTGGCGCCACCTATTTTCTAGAACTATCCTGTA